AGGATATGTTTTATTCACTTTGTATCCCAGAACTTAGCACAGTGTGCTATGAAGACTTAAAAAACATTGACAAATGAATTAATGAATGATCTTTACCCTGTGTACTTTTACCTGAATACTTTTCTCCTGCAGACTAAATACCCAGACAATCTTAATTTAAATGGGAGAAAGATAGAAGAAAAATATTTTTTGCACATTTTACTCTTTATATCCATGTTTGTATGTATATAGCCTCATAAATATTTTGCTTATGAGCTATAGACCTAATATCAAAGTTTAAGAAACTATCCACATATGGAGCTTGAAATAAAATTGTACTGTGTTGACTATTGCTTGGGGTAAAAATGAAGCTTTACTGGACAATTAAAAATATTTTTATGTAAAATATTTTGTTATGTTTGGCTTTGCCTTGTAGACTTATCAATAATTCATATGCTACAAAAGGATTTGGGCAAAATGTTGCCTATATATGTAGAAAAGTGTACAGATCCACTATTTGTTATTGTCAACATGTGTATCCACCATACTAATTCATGGCTCACCAGGAACCATGAAGCCAAGACTGCCCCATCAGAGTTTAAACATACTGCTTTGCCAACACACACCAAGGCTAGATCTGCTTCATACTTATAAATCCAATTTCCTCCTTTTTACCTACTATTGGACATCCCCATATTTGAAACTGAATTTGTAGTCATGCCCCAGACTCATTTTTCTTCCTGAGATCTCAACTTTAGTGAACTACATTGGCCTTCATTCCCTTATTTCTCCCAAATCCCCTTTTAAGTAGATTCACAGAGAATAGTTACAAAGAGCATAAGGGAGATAAAATATTAGCTGTTAGTAGTGGCACAGTAACTCCCCAAGTACAAGGCTTCCTAGTATTAAGGATGATGTTTAGGCTTGAAACCCAAAATACACCATTGGACTTCTTCTCCCTAGCATTGAAGATAACTTGGGATGGGACGGACCACCTCACTAATCCACTTAGTCTCAGGCTGTGGACATTCCCTTCTCCAACTAGAACTTACTACCTGGAGATAGGAAGTTCACACCAGGCCTGACTGAACAAAGGCAAGTCCAAAGGGTGAAAAAAATTGTGCTTCAAACTCACCCAAAAGATAGAATTGACCCCTGACTGTCAGACTCTTGCCCATCTCACCAATCAATTAGTCATTCCTCTCCACCTGAGCTCAGGACACTATGTTTGTGGGGGAGAGAATCTATAAATGTACAATCAACCTCTCCCTTCTTACCAGGGTAAAAGTCCTCTCTTTGGAGCCCTGATAAGTAGGGAAATAAGGTTTGCTGCTTTAATACTCGCTGCCAGTTCCCCAGTCATCTAAGCTAAGTTCTTGGGCATAAATCTGAACTACATCCTTTTTCTTACTTCCTAATCATCCCCTATATTCTATTGATCACCGGATCCTGAAGTTTTATCCCCCAGATCTTTCTCCACACCTCCTTTTTCCCCATCTAGCCTACCTTGATCCTAGATCTTCATAATCCTTTGCCTACACAACAGTAACAATCTTCTAATTCTTATTTCTGATTTAAGACTTGTTCCATTTCTAATCCACTGTTTCTCCACATTACAGCCAGAATGATCAGTCTGAAACTCAGTTCTTATTATGTCACCCTCATGTCACACACAGCTTTCCATTAAACTACAGGGATAAGGGCCAAACTCTTTAGAATGAATTACAGAACTCTTATGTCCTACTACCTTTCCAAACTTAACTGCCCTGTTTCCCCATTCCATACCCATTCCAGTAACATGAAAATGCTTGTAGTTTCTTACAGTCACCATGCAGCTGCAAATCTTCATCTATTTGTTCATGTGATTCCTTCTGTCTAAAATACTCTTGACTCCCTGTCTCATTTGGTTAACTCTGATTCAACTTTGAAGATTCTGTTGAAGCCATCACTCCTTCACTAGCTTCCCGTGATCTCAATACTTATCCCTGCTCTGCTCCCTCAGGCTGGGGAAATTACTCCTCTTCTGTACTCACTCTGTGAATAGCTCCATCATTGACTTGACTACCCTGTGTTGATTTTTTTTTCATGTCTGTCTTCCTCTTGGTTAGTGGCCATATCACCAGTAACTAGAAGTTACCAGCACTCAAGATAAATTTGTGGATTTAAAATGAACTCTTTGTTTTCCTAAATCATTCATTCCCTGATTTATTCATTAATTCAATAATAACTTATTAATGAATTTTATGAATTTCACCCCACTCACCCACTTTTGTTTTGCTGAGTAATATCCTAATTTTCCAGATGTGTCTGGCCTGTGTGGAAATCAATCATTTTCCCGCTTCGCTACACATTCCAGAGCATATGAAGACATTTGTTAGCCATTTTCAAATTGTGATTTGTAAATTACCCACTTGAATCATTTTTATATGCTCTTGTTCCAGTGACATTCCTGACTGATTACACTTCATCTTTTTTATGAGGATAGACTGACATAAGTGATGTTGTCTAACAGCCTAACACTGGAACTGAGACTACTGCTCCCTCCTTGCTGGCTTCCATCTGCAGAAAATGCAACTCTCAATGGCAGCCATCAGAATTAACTACATTTTGATGAACAATAATAGCAAAGTAACATCAGATTATGATTTCACAGAAGGTCTTTAAAGTCAGATTCAGCCTGTCTCTTCTTGTTTCAGAAATTTGCCTGCTCAAGAGCTTTAGCTGCTAATGGGCACTGATTTTCTTTTCTTTTTTTTCTTTTTTTCATTCCAGTTCATAAAGGGTCAAGTTTAAAGAGATTTGATATAAACCCTACATTTTCCAAAGAAAATCTCAGAAAACAGTGGGAAGTAATTGGAGGGTGGGGGGTTAGCTAGTCCAGGAGCAGTGGGCTTGGGAACCTGAGAATGATGAACAATAGGGTCTCTCCATGCTTCTGGCAATGAGGATAATGAATGGCCAGAGTGAGCGAGGGCAGGAGCCAGGAAGGATGCAGCCATGAAAAGATGAAGAACAAAGGCCTCTCTATTATTCTCTTCCCATGATGGGCCCATTCCTCCAGGAAAGAGTAAGATTTGTATAAACTATCTCATAAAGAGAACTTTAAAATAATAGCAATAATAGTAAGCTAATTGGTTGATTTTACATCTAATAACCAGATTAATAAATACTATACCCTAAAACCTTTTGGAAATACATTAAGTATATAAACAACCTCATGCTTCTATCAGGAATCAAAATATTTAACAACCAGCCCAAAACATAGCAGCCAGTAGAGCAGATGCCTGCCATAAACACTAGTAAGGGCATCCTGGAGCACAGAGTTAAATGAATATTCACACAATTGAATATACACACACCTGCACAAATACCAGACATCTCTTCCCTCTCCTGCCAAGTTCTATACTGAATTCTACTCTAGTTACTTTTTTAAACAACAAGAATGACTAATGATAAAAATGTTAAAGAAAAATCTGAAGTTATTCTTGTGTATGTTGTTTTATTGCCTAAAGCTAAAAAAAAGATCAGAGTTTCTTTCTCCATTTTCAGTCTTCTATGTGTTCTCTCCCTTTCCAGGCCCTAAAGACCTACAACTCCCCAACTCCCACACCCCTATGATTCAGAGCTCCCATCTCAAAATAGAAACTAAACGAGATCTCATACTGCTCCTTGCCACCTGCCTTGATGGAATCCCTGAGCATTGCCTTCTTTCATATTCTTCTCACATATCTCTCCAAGCACCCCCAGCAATTTCTTACTTCTTTTCTACCTTTTCTTCCAGGCCTGTTTCAAATCCAATGCTCTACTGATGAGCTTTTTATGTTTTGGGGGTTTTTTTGGCCATTCAGTCATTTTAAAATTCTTTGGAGAATAGTAATTTTAGGATGTTCTCAGGCTCACGTCATGAACCCAAACTGTCACCCCATTTTTCAAAGGGAACATATACATAATGCTAGTTATTCTACAGGATAACTTACTTATGCATCTCATTTAACCATTACAATGCAGTTTACACATCATTTTCACTTTCCAGGAACCTGAGAATCAGAAAGGCTGAGGAACTTGTCATTGATCACAGAGTTAGTAAGCAGTGAAGTCAAGTTTTGAATTCAGGAAATCATTTTACTCCAATTTCATGTTCTTTCAGACCCAATATTGCTGCTGTATGATAAGTGACAAAAATAATAGTAATAACTATCCAAAGTTATAGAGTCTTGCCTTAATGTGACTAACATTTTTCTAAACTCACTCAAGGGTTTACACATAAAAGAAGGCTGATTCACCACTCCACATCCCAACATTGCTTATAAATCTTAAGCCAACATAACCCTAAGCAACCATAAGCATGAGGAAAATGTTAACCAAAATAACTTCTGTATTTTACTGCTAAGGAGAAATAAGGTGTGAAGTTGACAGATTCTGAATTAACGTTCCATTATGTATTGAGAGAGTATAAAAACATCAGTGATGATCAGCTGGGGGTTAAATGGCAAAGGAACAAACCCAAAGCATTATGTTAAGGGTTGAGAGGATTGTTTCCGTTCTTTAGATTTAGAGAGAAGGAAAAAGTATTTGCAGGTAGACATGGGCCCAAGTAAAGAAGGACTTCTTTTTTTTTCTTTAAAGAAAAATTCTTGGTATACATTATAATAATTTATATTTTTTAAAACACTTATAATTTTATTGTTGTTTTGAATATGCTCCTGAGATTTTTTTTATCAAACTGTCTATATTTTATCAGCAAATGGTCAAATAATGCAGTTGTTCTATGAGAGAAAAGAGGAGGAAAGTTTGGGCTACTTGTTTCTGCTCAGGGTTGGGGTGTGTGTGTGTGTGTGTGTGTGTGTGTGTGTGTGTGTGTGTGTTGGGTGGCAATGGGCACACACTGGGATCTAATTGCACTCAGGCAGGTTTGGAGGGGCTCCTCTCAGCCTCCCTGCCCTAAGAAGGCATGGGCAGTGACGTACCTACTCTATGGTAACTGTAAATCTCATATAAGACTTTATTATTTTCAACCTCAGAAATATTTACCAAAAAATCAGGGACCACGACCTCTTGGACAAAAGGAAAACTGTCACAGCACTGAAAGCAGGAGAGGACCGGGCCATTCTCCTGGGACTGACCATGATGGTGTGCTCCATCATGATGTACTTTCTGCTGGGAATCACACTCCTGCGCTCATACATGCAGAGGTAACACCATTAGCTGGTTGGGTCACTTGTCTTTGTCTCCTCCTTCTCCCTCTTCCCCCATAGATTATCAACCTCAGATCCTCCTCCTCCCCTTCTTTCCTAATAAGAACTTTAAGCCTTGAAGATAATATTTTTCAATAATGTTGTCTAATAATTATGGAATAGCTCTGTGTATAAACTTCCTACTATGTACCAGGATCCATAGGTTACTTGTTTAATTCTCATAACAATTTTATGAGGTAAATATGAATATACGCATCATAAAAATGGCAAAACTGAGGCTCAGGATAGAAATAATTTGCCCGGCACCACACAGCTCTCGCATATGGCAGAGCCAAGATTCAAACCCACATCCCACTAATTCCAGGGACCCTGTTCTTGCCTCTTCACACTTCTGTTCATTCTCCACTCTCATTCCTCCTTCCCTCCCCCACCCCACTCCTCCATCACCCCACACATCAGTGATCTCAACTGCACATTTAAACTTCCTGAGAAACTTTTTAAAATACTGATCTCATTCCCCACCACCATCATCCCAGAGGTCATATTTAATTGGCCTGGAGTGGAAACCAGTCATCAGTATCTTTTAAATTTCTCCAGGTAATTCTAATATGCTGTCAAGGCTGAGAAACACTGCTGTGCACCAACTTGAAAAAAATTACAGATCTTGAACCCTTTTCATGTTAATCTGTGCCCATGGTTTACTGAATAGATAGGGAGGCAGTTAAATACTGAGAGATCATGTGTATTCTCCCCTGAGTAAGCCACAGCATCTCTAGCTAACTCTGCCCATAAATTGGACACTTTGAGCACAGGAGAGCCCAGCATTGCTCCAACAAATAGGGAAAATCTCACAGTGGTTCAGCTTAAAGAGATGAGAGTCTTTCAAATGAAAAACTGAGGTTTCAATCCAAAAAAAGAATCAAAAGATTTTGTGGCATTCAGTTCTCCACCTAAATTAATACTTTCACATAGAAGCAAGCTCTAGCTGAAACACAGTAATTTGCTGAAATTAAGGCATCCTCTTTCCCATTTGTGGCTGCTCTGCTCTATTTCTCAGATGCCTTCAGCTGTCTCCTTCTCAATGAAAGTGCTGATTGCTGCCTCGGGCTCCCAGTGTTCACTGGTTCCACAACCACTTTCAGATCCTCACATCTGCTTGGAGCCATCAAAGACTCTTTCCTCCCTGATAAGCAAACTCTGACCACCCAGGTCCTAGGAAAATACAATTTGCCACCCAGGGGGTGGGGGATGGGGGTCAGGGCTACTATGCTGCCTCTGGCATAAAACTGGACATGACAAGGGGGGCCCTGTCAACACATGTTCTGCAAAAGGAAGGGGTACCCATCTGCAAAGAAAACAGCTGTCTTCTGTTCACGATGGTTATCGGCTTATCCCCAGAAACAAACTCTTGATTGCTGGTGTGTTTCTTCCTAGTCACAAATGTGACTCTTGATCAGATACTTTTAAAGACTTTAGAATGAAATGCTGGCCAATGAGCAGCTGGAAGTTGTTGGTTTGGTTTGTTTTTTTCTAACTGAGAGGTCCCAAGAGGACACTTGTCCTCTTCTCCACAGCACAGCTCCATGGAACCAGTCCGGGCCTTGGAGAAATCAGGATTGAGTGGAATCACAATCTCCATCGCTCACTATCTGCATGTCTTCACATGCTACTTGTTTTCTCTGACCCTCAGTTCACTCGCCTTCAAAGGGAATTAATAGCCAACGTACAGGGTTGTTGGGAGGATAAGAGGGGATAATGCATATAAAACACCAGTTAGGGTGAAAAGGGATATCCAAATGATTGCTCTTGGTACAAAGGGTGGAGCTATCTTTCCTCCCTTATTAGAAAGGCCTTAAAGAAATGTATTCCTGTCCCTCCATGTGTCGAATTGGACCTCAAACCCTTCCATCCCTTTGTCATCTTCCCTCCTATTCTCCCCTTATACCGTCTCTGCTACAAACTGGGCAGGCTTTGCAGAGGTGAGGACTGGGCATGGCAGGAAGCTGCTTGCAAGGTAATACAAGTGAGTGCAGGTTTGATGTCATAAGATGTTTTATGCTTATCAGTGAACCTGAGATAGGAAAGAAATAACTGAAACTGAGCATTGGAAAATATTATACTATAACCAATGCGAATCATTGAAAGAGTTCTTAGGTGCCAGGTAGATTTATCTATGTTTATATGATGGTTTGCCCAAAGCTGCTCTATTCAAAAGTATAAACTTTAACAACTAGGTTGTATTATAGATTTGAAAAAGGTTCTTCAGGCTAAGGACCAATGATCCCCTCTAATTATGCCTTCCTTGCTGTGAGCGCTTTGGACCTTGTGTTTACTCTCCCCGTCTCTCTGAAGCGTGTGGACCGAGGAATCTCAATGCACCTTGCTGAATGCGTCCATCACGGAAACATTTAATTGCTCCTTCAGCTGTGGCCCGGACTGCTTGAAACTCTCTCAGTACCCCTGCCTCCAGGTGTACGTCAACCTGACTTCTTCAGGCGAAAAGCTCCTTCTCTACCACACCGAAGAGACGATGAAAATCAATCAGAAGGTAGGTCACCCCCGCAGGGCTCCCACACCCAGCTCCCCTCTCTGAAGACCCCTGTGCCAGCATTTCAAAGGAAAGCACCACCAGGGAGCAGGCCCTGCCTCATCTGTACACAGAACTCGCTATTTGACTCTGGCCTGGGGAACATTTATTTTCTGTGCACGTTGTGGACAAATCATTCCCCCATGCTGTGGTAGTGCAGATTTACCCTTTCCTTCCATTTCGGAGAGAAAACCTCCTGTCTTTATTTATACACAACTGGACTGAGTCTCTCAAAGCAAACATGCAGCTCAGTCGGAGTTCTACCAGCCAGAAAACCAGCTATTTGTCATATACCTGGGAGCCATGAGGTAAAGCTGTATTTGGCTTTTCCACAGTCATTGTCACTGAGTCCTGTGGTCTTGGGGATGTTACTTAACTTCTCTAGCCTCAGCTTCCTTATCTCTGAAAAGGTAAAGACGATGGTCATCTTTCAAGGTCATTGTGAGGGTTAGAGCAGAGAGTGTAAGGTGCTGAGCAGAGCACGGTGCCTGGCACAGGGCAGACCTTTGATTCACGGTCACAGTGTGTGTGCCTGTGAGTCTTTCTCCATGTATGTTATGTCCATAGGGGATGCATTTTTCCAGCCCTAATATGCTCACATTCACAGGGTGGGTGCTCCACAAATGTGTATTGTATTAAAACTGCACATAAAATTTGTAGTTCTAAGGTCTGGGATGACCAGTAAAGTGTCAGCAGAACCAACCTGCTATTATCAGTTTGAAGTTAAACTATTTAGTTTGGGGCTTATGGTAGTAATTCAGAGGCCAGAGCACTCTCATAGGCCAAAACAACCTGAAGCCTCTCCAGTAAGATAAATGGCCCTCATGACCCAGACACTGCCCTCTTGAACTCTTGTCCTTCTTGTAAAAGCTTTTCATTACAATTACCAGCACTTAAGTGACATAGATTGTATGTATTGAAGCTTTGAAGTTTAATATTCTAACATAGGCTTTATTTTGTGATATATTGACACCTACATTTTGTTTTTATTGCAATAACTTAAAAGAATTCTTGCAAATATCTCTGAGGAGTCAACACAATGAATATTTCAGGGAATGTCTTTTGAAGATCTCTGCTCTGATTTCCTTTGTTTGTGGTAGTCACAAATAATACCACCGTTTTCTGCAAATTTATAAAGCTCAGCTCTCCCACAAAGCATGTGTTTTTCAACATCTTCCCTCAAGTCAGATTTCTAAATCAAAGCTGACCTGTAACAACGAAGGCCTATAAAACTCTCAAATCTTCACGGAATTGGAAATTGGCCAAAGTTGAATAAGCATTAAAAAAGTGGGACATCTTTCCATTTCCTCGCTTTGACATTTTATCACTACAGCCCTGTGAATGCATAAACACGGCTATAAACAGGGATTGGACCTACCATAGAAAGTCTCAGTTAAAAATTTAGGACAGGTGTCTTGTCTGCTGTCAGCATGGTAGTAGGTCATTTGTTTGTTTGTTTGCCCCATTACCTTGTTTTTAACTGTGAATTACAGCACACATGTAGAAACATGCAAGAAGTGAAAGTATACAGCTCAAGCATTTATTACAGAGATTCCCATGTAACTACCATGAGGGTAAAGAAACAAAACATCTCCTACAGCACAAAAACACCCTCATGCCTCCTCCCAATAACTATTGGCTCTGCCCCCTGCCAAAGATAACAGCTGTCCTGATATTAGGGCAATTACTTTCTTTCTTTTTTTTGGAGTTTTATCACCTAAGCATATATCCCTACACACTATATTTTAGTTTTGCCTGGTTTTTAAACATGATGTAAATGGAATCATACAGAATATTTCTCTTTGTGCCTGGCCTCCTTCACATAATGCTATATTTGTTAGAGTCATTCCATTTGGTGGTAGTTCATTCACTTTTACTAAAGTATTATAGCCCATGGTATCAACATGCCAATTTATTTACTCATTCTACTGTTGATGGGAATTTTGAGTTTTCTACAGTTTGGGACCATTACTAATACTAGTAATTCTGCCAGGCATATTCTCATATCTGTCTCTTAGTGCACAAGCACACACATTTCTGTCAGGTATAAACCTGGGAATGGAATATCTAGAAAATAGAGTATACTTATCTTAGTTTAGGAGATAATGCCAAATGGTTTTCCAAAGTGCCTCTCACCAACCCTATGGGTATGAGAGTGTTTATTGCTCCAAATTCTCACCAACACTTGGTATCATTTGTCATTTTAATTTTAGCTAATATGACAATATTTCCTTTGGTTCTCATGACTCAAGTGCCTTTTCATTTACTTACTGGCCATTTGGATATCCTCTTTTGTACAATGTCTGTTCAAGCCCCTGGTCCATTTTTCTATTGAAGTGTTTCTTCTTCATATTCTTCTAGGAATTCTTTAAATCTAGATATTCCCTCTATTGATTAATATGTCTTGCAAATATCTTCTCCCATTATGTGGCCTTCTCACTCTCTTAATGATGTCTTTGAATGAAAGAAGTTTATAATTTTAATACAGCCAAATGTTATATTTTTCGGAGTGTTATTTTTGTGCATGGGTGCAGTGCATCCTATTTAAAGTGTCTACCTACCCTGAGGTCATGAAGTCATTCTCCTAAGTTATCTTCTAGAAGCATATGGTTTCTCTTTTCACACTTAGAGTACGATCAGCCTGGAATTGATACTTATATAGAAGTCAAGGTTCTGTGGGGTTTTTTTTGTTTGTTTGTTTTTAATATGAGCATCCATATGCCCAAATCCATTTATGAAAAGATCACCCTTTCCTTACCCGATTATTTTTATAATTCCATTTCCCCTTCTATTGTCTTGAAAGTTATCTGTTCTACTGTTATTATTTCAGTGTTTAGCCTACAGATTACAACTTGCAATCTTGACTAATCAAGAACAATAAAAAAATTTCATTCACTGAGGATAAAATTCTAAGTTTGTCGTTATTTTGTTTCTGCATGTTGAAAACATGCCATTCTCTTTTGGTGAGCATTTTTACTATTTAGAAATCAGCTTTAAGCTAGTTGCTGCTTCTTTGAAGGTAATCTTCATCTATTTTAAAGATTATTTTCTTTGGTTTTCTGAAATTTAACTGTTATTTGCCAAAGTGCAGATTTATTTTTATTTAGCTTACTTAGTGTTCTCAGGGCTTCTCTCCCTGTACCTTGAGATTCTTTGTCAATTTTAGATAGTTTTTCATCATTATCACATCAAATACTATCTCTGCTCTCATTCTCTCCCATTTCTTCTGCTTAAAATCCAAATTGGCCATATGTTAGGTTTTCTCAATGTATCCTCTGTGTGTTTTATTCTCTTTTTTATTTTCCCTCTTTTTGTCTCTCTGAGCTTGGATATTGACCTATCTTCTAATTTGTAGTTCTTTCCTCAGCTCTGATTAATCTACTGTTAAATCCATCCTTTGAGTTCTTAATTTCTCTAACTGTAATTTTCATGCATAAAACACCCATTTGGGTCTTACTTTATAATTTTTACTTTTCTGTAATATTCTAATTCTTTTCTTTTAAATCCTTTGACATAAAAAAGTAAATTGTAGTTATTTTAACGTTTATTTTGATGATTTCAATATCTGAAGCCCTTATATGCCTATTCTTTTCTCTTGGTATTTTTATTTCCATGTTGTATAATGTCTGGTTAATTTTTATTAGGTTTCAGACATCATATTTGTAAATTATTATAATAATAATTAATCCTAGAATTATGTCATATTTTCCAAAACTTATTTCCATTTGCCTCTGCCAGGCCCCTGGGGATATTAGCCATTAATGATCATCTCATTCTGACTTCATAAGTTGAGACAGTCAAGTCTGAACTGAAGTCCCTGTTTGCTTCAGGTTTACCATTACTCTTATGATGCAGCCCTTAAGAGTCCCAACACAAAGTGAATGAGGGGAAGTCATCAGGGGCCCCACTTGATAGGCCCTCACTCTGCAAGGCTGTCAGAAATATCATTCAGCCTTCCAGGCTCTCAGCCCCCTCCTGGAATCAGCAGATGCTCCCAGGGGAAAGGTGGCACCAAACACTGACTCCCCTCGCTGGCCTGGTAGTTCTTCACTCTCTGAATAGCTATCCTCTTCCCTTAATCAGAAATATAGCCCAGCAGCATGGCTCAGTGATTGAGCATCAACCTATGAACCTGGTCATGGTTCGTTTCCTGGGTTGTGGGCTCGATCCCCCACACCCCAGTGTGGGGCGTGCAGGAGGCAGCCAATCAATGATTCTCTCTCATCATTGATGTTTCTCTCTTGCTCTCCCTCTCCCTTCCTCTCTAAAATCAATAAAAATATTTTTTTAAAAATCAGAAATATATACATTGAAAATACAGTTATCTGCATGTCAGCAGGCCAGTAGACCATGATCTTAGTCCAGCATGAAAAATATTCAGGATATTTCTGGGAGTCGGGGTTAAAATACTCTTTATGTGGATCTCTCCTTCCTATTACCCTTCCCCAAGCTCACTAAAAATAATAGCTTTCCCCCTAGTTACCAAAAAAAATGGTATTTTTATTCAGATACATAAGACACTACCGACAATGTTTGATTTGAGACAACAGGAGGCAAAGGATATCAAGCAAGCAAGCTGTTGGTATCTTTGTAGAAAATATCCAAAAGGATTTTATTTTTAAATTTTTACACTCTCTCATATATCCCTTTTCCTTAGCTTGCAAACACAGTGCCCAGCCTCTCGTCAACATTACAGCTAAAGCTGCTTAAACTGATACGCTGGCTCCTCTTGTGGAGCAATTGCAAGTGGGCTCAAGGCCCCTGGCTCCCCTAGTCACAAGGTACCACTGGAATCTTAAACGGCGGCTAAGTGTTAATTCACTACGGTTGTTGAATTTCTCAGAGCTTTGGGCGTTTAAACATTTCTACCCACCAGGGATTCTTAAAACATACCCATCTGGTTTGAAAGTAAATTTAAAGTGAATTTTGGTGCAAAACAAGAAAATATAACCATTTTTTTG